AGGTAATCAACCCATGCACTTTGATTCGACTTTGCGTATGAGCGGAGCATATTCCCAACGACTCTGTTGACTCTTTCGGTCTGTCCGTCGGTCTGAGCGTGGGCCGCTGTTGACATTTTCATTTGCACGCTGAACTTGTGCATGACTTTCCTGAACAGAGCTGCGGTGAACCGCGGATCCCTGTCGGAGATGAGGACTTCGGGGAGTCCGTGTAACTTGTACACATGTTGAATGAATAGTGAAATACAACCCTGGGCATCGACAGTGCTGGACGTAGGGGCCAAATGGACCATTTTGGAATACTTGTCTACGAACACGTAGATAGCGTCGTGTCCTTGAGATGTAGTTGGTAGTCCAACCATCAAGTCCATTGTGACTGTGTGCCACGGGTATGGTGCCACCGGCAAGGCTTGGGTGGGGACCTTGAGTCTACGACCACTCTTTGCCGTTGCGCATGTGTGACAAGTGTCAACGTACTCTCGAATCGCACTGTGCATCCCCGGCCAATAGAATTCGCGCGCAGCGCGGGCCTGAGACTTGGAAACACCTTGATGTCCACTGCTCAGCCCATCATGCGCCATGGCCATTACGCTTCTATGACTGGAAGATGGCACGCAGATGCGGTTCTTGTGATAGAGTAGGTCGCCAACACGTTTGTACTGTGGAAAGGACGCGAGGTCGTGAATGATCTTCTCCCAGAAAGGGTCTTTGAGGTAGTCAGACCAGCGGATGTTGACTGTTTCGTCTTCAAGCAGCTCCCTGACCATGCAGGTGCGAGAGAGTGCATCCGCAACGACGTTTTTGTCGCCTGGAATGTACTTGAAAGTAACGTTGAAGTCTGAGAGGAAGAGCGACCATCGCTGAATGCGGGCTTCCTGTATCTTGTTCTGTGCCAACACTCGCTCGAGCGACTTGTGGTCGGTGTAAACAGTGATGGGGCGACCGATACAAAGGTAACGCCAATGTTGCAGAGCTTTGATGACGGCATACAGCTCCTTCTGCCTGATTGGCCAGTTTCGCTCATGCACTGAAAGGGTGCTGGAGTAGAACTCAATGGGGCGACCCTTGTGCTGGAGAACAGCGCCGACTGCTTTGTCGGAGGAGTCTGTAAACAGATCCAGTGGCTCTGTAGGATCAAGGTCGAGCGTGGGACACAACGTGGGCAACTTGGCCATGGTGGCCTTGAGATTGTTGAAGATTCGCGAGTCATCCTGCGTCCAGTTGACAGTCGC